TTAAAAAAAAAGTTCTAGAGAACTTGACTCATAACAATGTGAATACATTTAAAACTATTGAACTGCACACTTAAAAATGGTTAAGATGGTAAATTTTATGTTACCAGACCATATGTCTTACCATAATAAAAAAGACCAAAAAAATCTGTGCTTCAAAAAAACATAAAGGTGTGTTTCAAATCCAGAGACTTCTACCATAGGAATGTATCCCATTAGCATTTGAGAATGCAAAGATATTTCCGTATTGTATTTTCTTGCCCTAAACTCCGATGGTTACCCAAATCCTTATCCCTAAGCCAAGTACCAGACTCTACCCACAATCCTCTCACCCCAAACCCTATCACATGACTCTAATCCCTAACCCTAACCCCAATATGTAATGCTAACCCCTGACCCAAACCCCAATCCCTTTCTCCATGACACTCTGCTTACCTGCCACAACTCTGTCCCTCCCCCCCCCCCCACCCCCGCCACACTCCCTCCCAGGGGGAGCAGCTTTTCTAGAGAAGGACTTGCTATTTCCCACAACCCTTTAGGCCAGGCTAGGCCAACCAGCTGGAAACTCTTTGGTCTATACTTGCGGGTTCCCCCAAGTAACTGAGCCTCTTAGGCCTGATCCTCCAATCCCAGCATTGCCCTTACTGACCCATCCTGCTCCAGGAACATGTCATTCCCCAGCCCAATCCTGAGACAGGATGACCAGCTTCAGTTCTCTGGGAAATTAATTCAGGAGGAAAAACTCTTCCTTCATAATGTTCACCAAACTTATTTAGTTTAACTCCAACTTTGGGGCCAGCCTGCCCCGCCACTTAAATCCTACGGCAACCCAGGCAAGCTACTTAACTTCTCTGTGCCTCAACTGCTTGCTCTGTAAAATGGGTTTAATAACAGCACGTCTTTCATAAGGTGCCTAGAAAGATTAAATGAGTTAATATATAAAAGCACCTAGAATGGTACCTGGCACCATAGTAACCACCAAATAAGTGTTCGCTTTTGTTAACATTAGTATGACTGTTACCAAAAAAAAAAGTATACGTTTTCCTCTTCAGACTCCCACTTACTTTTATAATGAGGGCAAAAAACCTAAACGTGCTTATTTTAGAATTTTTACAAAGCACAGAAAAGTATAAAGAAGAAAAATAGCCCACATCCATCCACTTACTTACGTTTTGAGGACAAAGGATAATTTGACTTTGCTAACAGTCTGCGTTTTAGTAGATTTTCACTTGCTGCAGCCCTGCCCAGCCAAGCAGAACTGCACTTTGATTTTATTTTGCTCTTGGCACTCAACTATAATTCCAGGCATAACATAGGGTCTCTGTATGTTTGTGTTTCCCACTAGGTTGGAAGCTCCTGGAGGAGAGGAACAGTATCTCTTTACTCTCTGCATGCCCTGGACGCCCAGCACAGAGCCAGACCAGGAAGATGCCTCCTCAATGCCAATACGCCTGGCTTCTCCCAGCTGTACCACTCCAGAATTCTGTTTCACAACTCTTCGCTCAGAAATGCAGGATTCTAGCAGAACTATCTCTGAAATAGAATGTAAGGCGAGAAGAATTCCCCCATTGTGAATTTGGTGGGGGGGGGGGGTGGAGGGCGGTCTGCAGTACCTCTTCTCAAAGATCTTAGAAAGGGCGTTTTCCTCTGTTGGGTAATTGCAAACATTTTTTTCCACAGAGGATGTGGCTCATTAAAGTGGTGATTTTCCACTTGCAGGTATAAAAATGAAGAGAAGGCTGGCCAAAGCTGTGCCCCAAAGAGACATGGCATCTGCTAGCTGCCTGCCAAAGACCACAAAACAATGGAGGGTCCTTTCTCAACACAGGTAACTGTAGTCTAACCGACATCACTCCCTCTCTTAAGGAAGCTTACCAAGTGGCAGCAAATGCCATCCCAAGCAGTAAAATGAGAAACAGAAACATGAGGCTTAATGTAGCACGAACACGGGTTTTGAGAAAACTTATTTTTTAAGAAAAAGCTGGAAGGAGCAAGAGACGGTCGAACAGACATGTCAATTTCAGGGATAATCCTGCTTTCCATCCATGCTCACTTCTGCCCTCTCCTTTCCCTTTCATCTTTCCAACTGGCCTGATGTTCACAGCAGAGAGAGCTGATGTAACCGAGATTTTCCTTTCCCAGAAAGGCCTTTTGTGATGTTTCCATGCAAACCGAATAAACTTACTGGAAGTGAAGTAGGAGACAGACGCAATAAAAGAATGAACGTGCAAGTTTACAATCCAAAAGAGGAAGAGGCTCTTCCCCCAACTTATGAGCAGCTTCTAAATCACACAGAGCATCAGCAGAGGCAGAATATGTATGTATGTGGATGTAAGAAATGCTTACGTTTTACATAAATCTATGCATCTGCCTCCCAAAGCGGACAATTAAGAAGTAGAAGTAATCAAAGCTTGACTCTGTATACCCAAATCCAAGAAAGTGCCAGGGCTGTCTTGTCATTGGTGTTTTTCCTCCCCCATAATAGATTCTCTTCCCTCTTCCATAAGCATTTTACCAGGCTATGTTTAGAATAGACGTCAGAGCTGGGAAACCAACTAGCAAAGCAAGACTTTCCCAATGGTGCCATCTGGTGGTGCTTCTGTGTATTACAACATGGCTTTGACCTGAAGCCGACACAGGGAAAGCCAAGGGCAAACAACTTGGAATTAGTCCTTTCATGATTTTTTTTAAAAAGTCGAACCTTTGAGATTTGGCATTGGATCATGTGTGGCAAGTGTCAAACACACAGGTGTTGAGAGAAAGTTCTGCCACATGACAGAAATCATACATTAAGAAACAAAGTTTTGGGTCGCCCTGAACACTCAGCTGGTTTCATGAATTAGGTGAACGCCCTGTCCATTTTTTTTTTAATCGAGCAATGAAAATGTTTACAAAAGACCTCTGGGGAGAGATTCGTGAAAGGGCAACTTCTAGGGAAAGGGTTTAGAATCGCTGCATTTTAGAGAGAGAAGAATCCCTTTAGCTGTGGGCTTCTGAACCTGGGGACCACAATCCCATTTTAGGGAAAGTGGACTCCTTGATTTTGAACATAAAAAGTGGTGTGTTGGCACAGATGGGCATTTTAACATAAACGGCATTTTATCAGATTCTCAAAGGAGTCCATGGCCTAGAAAAAGCTAAGAACAAATGCCTGGGATCCTAACCTAACCTCATACCCTGTTAGAAAATTCTGTCCACAACAGTCTCGACAAATTCAGTTACTCTCGGTTTGAACTTTACTCTTATGGAGACATCGTTGCTTTGAGGCAGCTAGTCAATGGTAATTACTTCGAAGCCTTCGGAACTTTTAATACTGAATTGGACTTCCCCAGAATGTCAACCCACTGGGCTCAGCTACACTCTCCACCCTATTACAGCGCGCTCTAGTCCTTCTCCAAGCTTGGATGGCCTTCCTGCAAGTCTCCCCCTTTCCAGGCTAAACCCACCCAGAACCTTTCATTTGCCATGGTTTTCAGATCCTTCATTTCCCCCTCTCTTTTTGTGAGACAACACTTCTTTGACATTGACAACTTGACGTACAAAACAGAATACCCTAACCCCCATGACAACCCCTTCCGCCTACAGAGTGCCTGACTTGAACTTGTTCCAAACACCCAAGGCCTCTTTTTAATTTCTTCACCGACCCCTAGTTTAACCAAGAGTCTTTCACCCTTTCCAGGTTAAAGAGCACTGGCCTTGATAAACAGTAAGAAAAAGGACAAACCAGAAGCTGTGTGCTTCTTCTCTCTGCCATTTTTTGTATCACTTCACTCGCCCCAAGCAGATCCATCCTTTCCTTCTTCCTGTTTCAAATAGAACATAAAAGCTTTTTTATTGCTATCATTACTATTGTTCTCAAATCTGAGCTTATTCTGGTCTTTTGATTTCGATCCTGAGAAATTTATGACATGCTTTGTGTTTCTCCTTTAATGATGCCAGATTTCTGGTTTTGTACATATCGCTTTAAAATCAAAGCTATCTAGAGCCCTCTGTGCAGCCTTGATGGTTTCCTTAGATCTGCCCCATTTTCTCTCTTCTCCAGCCTCCTTTGTGGTGATGTATCACAAACAGGTTTTTTTAGCAACCATTTTCTCTTGTTCATCTCTATCTTTTGGATTCTCTGACCACGAGCTCATGCCCATATTTTTGGTAGATTTTTAAAAATCTTTTTTCCTAAACCCTGCACACATGCCTGGGGATCCCTTTCTTGGCTAGGTCAAATTGTCCTTGTCATTCTCTCCTATTTCCCATCACTCCCACTGTCACCTCATGGGTGATGATTAGGATGGGTGTAGCATTCTCCTCACGCTCTCATCAGCACCGTAAGGCAAAAAAGGTAAACAAAAGAGACAGTGGGGGACTTCCCTGGTGGCGCATCGGTTAGGAATCCGCCTGCCAATGCAGGGACACGGGTTCGAGCCCTGGTCCAGGAAGATCCCACGTGCCACGGAGCAACTAAGCCCATGCACCACACTACTGAGCCTGCGCTCTAGAACCCGCGAGCCACAACTACTGAGCCCGCGTGCTACAACTACTGAAGCTCACGCACCTAGAGCCTGTGCTCCGCAACAAGAGAAGCCACCGCAATGAGAAGCCTACGCACCTCAACGAAGAGTGGCCCCCACTCGCCGCAACTAGAGAAAGCCCGCACACAGCAACAAAGACCCAACGCAGCCATAAATAAATAAATTTAATAATAAAAAAATAACATTTACTGCTCAGTCACCTTGTACCGGGCACTGTACCAATCTATTGTATTAAAAAAAAGACAGTGGCACATGATCAAGGCCAGAGATTAAACCAGGAAGAAACAGACAAGGCAGTTCAAGAAGGAACTCCACGAACGCTGGCTGCCTCTCACAGCTTTGCTCTTACGCTCAGCCTGGTGCAATGGGGGAAGGGGTGGATTTTCAGAGAACCCAGCGCGGCTCCGAGATCCAGCAACGGAGTAAACAGAAAATATACTAGGCAAGGGTGGGTGGTCGCTGTTGCCTCCTCCTTACCTTGCGGATGCTAATTCCAGAGCAGAAGCAGCGTGAATCTTCTGGAACCTCATGATCTGCAGGACGTGGGCCCCTTACCATCCTTAGGCCGAGGCGGTCCTGGAAATCCAGCCAGGCTGCACAGACCGACGAAGGCCTCGAAGCCCGCGGCTGAGGGATGAGGGCCCGCGGGCGAAGCTTGCCCTCTGGCTGCAGACCAGCAGGCCCGCCTAACACCAACCCCGCGGGCGGCAGGCGATTTCATAAGAGACTGTCCTTGTTGCGAGGTGAGCAATTCCCAGCCGCCCTGGCAGCACCGTAAGTGTCCTGCCCGTGTGGGCTCAGCGCTCAGTCCCACGCAGGCTGACAGCCTTTCACCACCAGCTTCTGCAGAGTGCGCACCACACACCCAGGGCAGCCAGGAGTTCCAGGGAGCGGTCCTCAATCACTGATGAAAGGGAACCGACCGCACAACATCCCAGTTTCTCACCGCCAAGTGGAGCCACTTGGAGATGCGTGCTCCCCAGGCTGCCTGCTGTCCCCAGTCGTCACCTGCTCACCGACACCAATAACTTGTCCTGACTGCCTTCCCTCCTCCTCTTATCCCCACTTTCCTGCTGGTGCTTCCGGGTTTCACCTCCCAAGTAAACTGCTTGTGCTCGAATCCTAGTCTCCTCGTGCGTGCTAAGACACCACCTGATTGCAGTTCCGTAAATCACATCCCCCGCTGCCCTCAGGGCTCACATAATGAGCGCTCCCGCGCCCGGGGTGGTTGCGCTTCAGCAGCCTCTCCCTGACTATCCTCCCCTGGCAGGCATCTCACGAGGCTGTTTCCGCGCTTTTCCACGTGGGTTCACAAGTGAGCTCCTGGTAACACTGACTCAGCGCTCCTGGAAACCCGGCCCCAGCTAGCCGCCCCCCACCCGCCCGCCCTGCCCCCTCGCCAGCCTCCTACAGTCAGTCCCCTAAGCAGTGGTGCTCAGGGCGTGGCCCGAGGATCCCCGCCCCCACATCCGTGTTATCTGGGGAGCATGTTAACAATGAGCTTTCCTGGACACTACCAACTGAATCAGAATTTCTGCCGGTGGGGCCCGGGAATCTGCATTCCAAGCAATTCCTCCAGGCATCTTATACAGCCCGAACGTTGAAATCAGCTGCTCGGAAGCGTGAGCCTTCAGCAATCAGCGTCATCAATTTACCGTAATCAGTTCCCAGCCCGGCCTCCTTCAGCAAAACGCACAGCGCTCAGCAGCCGAGCTCAGGTGCTTCATCCCCTTTACTGTTTCTGTGCGACCCTCCCGACAGTTTTGTGTGTTTTTTCTGCCCTCTAGGCTTTTGACACTGCTTTGCCCATAGTGCAGAGGGTAGCCACGTGCCTGGGGTTGTAGGCTTCCTGGGGGAGAACTCAGCCAATGACTGCCAGGTGTGGGCATATTAAAGCCCAGCTGCCTGGCTTGGATCTGGGACAAACTCTTGGGGTGAGTTTACCCTCAAGAGCTCCCCTGGGGATCTGGCCTCGACTGGGACTTCGCTCAAGATCATCCTTTGCTTGCCTTCCTCCCCTTCCCTGTCCTGCTCCCACCCTGCCCTTCCTCCTGAAGAAACCTGAATCCTCATCTCAGGCTCTGCTCCTGGGGACATTTACCTACAAACGTGTTTTACTTATTTTTCCCTGACTTTTGCTATGTGAGTGCATTTGAAAATAGCTCGTTACACCATAAATAACAACTCTGCTCAGTATCGAATTGTTCACGAGCAGTTTCAGTTACAATGAAAGGAGGTGCCTTCGTGGATGGAGGTCACAAAAGCCAGTGCCCCTTTCCCTACTCCGCCATTTCCTCTGCCCTTCGGTCATTGCTGAGACTTCATGAGCACTTACTGCGTTCCAGGCATTGTTCCAAGCACTTCATGTCTAGTATGTCTTTTAATCCCCACAGCAACCCTTTGAGAGTGGCACTTTTTATCATTTCCATTTTCTGAGGAGGAATCAGAGCACAAAGATAGTAAAGGACTTGCCCAAGGTCACACAACCAGTGGCAGAGCCAGCAATTAGTCCAGGCCATCTGGTCCTAACACCTGTGGCTGACCCAGATCTCTCCCTTCTCGGATGCACACAGTATTTATATATTTACATATTTATTTGTGTATTTGCATATTTACATATGTATTTATTTGTTTGGCATAACTCTGGCATTATGGCCTGTCTTGCTCACTGTGCATTTTATGCGGACAGATCTTGTCTCAACTCCAAAGATGGTAAGCCCCTCGAGGGTGGGACCAACTGGCCATACACCTGCGGCTTCTCCCTGGGCAAGGCCAGGCCCCCGTATGCACTTGTATATCGATTCCTCATGTTCTTCACCAATTTCCTCCCACCCAGGCCTTGGTGCTTTTTCTTCAACCACCTCCTCTGGCTACAGACCCAGGCTTTCTTCTCTTCCTCCTGTTCCATCACCATCACGTGGCATGACCAGTAGGTTGTTTAAATCTTTATTATACAATATATAATATTGTGTGTATACAGGCCTAACTTTGTGACTATTAGTCAAACCTAAGCCTATATAAATCTCCTAGTCTTCTGCCCCAAATCAAGATGTATTTTGCAGGGCTTCCCTGGTGGCGCAGTGGTTGAGAGTCCGCCTGCCGATGCAGGGGACACAGGTTCATGCCCCGGTCCGGGAAGATCCCACGTGCCGCGGAGCGGCTGGGCCCGTGGGCCATGGCCGCTGAGCCTGCGCGTCCAGAGCCTGTGCTCCACAACGGGAGAGGCCACAGCAGTGAGAGGCCCGCATACCACAAAAAAAAAAGATGTATTTTGCATACTTTGCTATGATGTCTAAGTTGGTAGACGCTAGCCACATGTGGCTATTTAAATTTAATTAAATTAAAAATTCAGTTCCTCAGTTCCACTAGCCACATTTCAAGTGCCCGATAGCCACATGTGGCTAGTGGCTACCCCAATGGAACAGCACAGACACTGAACATTTCCACTGCCAACTAAAAACTGTTGTTCTCCACCTGGTTTTACAAGAACGAAGTCTCTAGCCACTGCAGTGGCTGCCCTTCAACACCCCCCTGAAAAGAGTTCAGGGTGGAGACCAGGAATGAGGCACTCTGTGCTGTGGGAAGAACTGGCAGAACAGGGCTTCGGATAGATATTTTCAGGAGAAGATTTTATGAGCCCAATTTCTTGCATCTTCTCATATCTAGAAAAGCACTAAACTCACGAACAGAGACATCTGCTCCTCGTAACTGGCAGCAACCTTCTGCCAAAATGTGTGCTTGCTTGCATGTACCCCCCTCACTAAAATCATCTATAATACTGACCTCTCCCCCTACCTCTCTGCAGCAGTTCCTCAGAGCTAGCTGAGAGGCTGTCTCCCAGGCTATAGTCCTCATTTTGCCCCAAATAAAACGTAAGTCACAACTCTCGCATCGTGCATTTTTTTTTTCCAGCCGACACCACAGGAAGTCCTATTGGATAGTGAGTGCTACTTCAGAGGCTAGCATAGCTGATTTTTCTCTTGAAGACTAAATAAAATTATTTCTCTTTTGCCAGATTCTATAGACTCCCACACATCGCTACTAAAATCCCATTCATGTCCGCCCTAATTTACAGGGTTACTCATATGCTGCCTGAGACGCAGGCTGGAGGATGGGGGTGAAGGTAACCTCTTCCCTGATCCCCCGGGTCCCAGAGAATGTCAGCGGCACCTGGAGTTTTGCAGGTTGCAGCCTTGCTTCTTCATTTAGGGGACATTCAAGTACATCCCCTCTCTTTTGCCAGCCCCACCTCCCCCGAGTCTCCAGTCCTCAAAAGACTTGGGAATGTAAAGCTTTTTAACACAAAACTGCAACAGGGAAGAGCAAAATCTGACTCCATGTTGCATCTGTTTCTTTTACTTTAACCTTTGCTTTTCATTGCTTTTGTTACTATAATCACTAAAAGGACGCTGTCTATAGCCTTGAGCATACATAATGGCCTCCCTCAGGGAACCCTGACCCTCTGCCTGAATGTTAAACTAAAGTGCCTTTGTTCAGCTCACGGGGAAACACCCTGACCCTGCCCACCTGTGAATGGCTGCAGAAAAGAAGAAATAAACACAGCCCCTCCCTGAGGCTGGCCAAACCAGGAGATGTTTTGCAAGGCTTATGGCCTTTTTGCTTTACTTCCTCACCTTCTCCCCGTCTCTGTTCTATGAAAGAAACTAGTATCCAGACCCCATAAGATGGTATTCTGGGATGCTAGCCCGCCATCTTCTCGGACACCCAGCTTTCTGAATAAAGTCGCTCTTCCTTGCCTCAACACCTCATCTCCCTATTACTGTCCTGCTGTGCAGTGAGCAGACCGAGCTTGGATTCCGTCACAAAACTACACAACACACTTTTCTCATTGTTGAAATCTCTGGTTAAAAACCAAACGGGGGCCATGAGCCTTGTGTGCAGCCATCTCCAGGGCTACAGAGGGAGCCAGAAAATGTTCACACGTTAAATGCATTTTCTTATAATTAACACAGCTGACATTCTTTAACTGTTTGGCTTCTTTCTGCCTTTAGGCAGCAAACGACAGCAGCGGTTTTGTCAGCCCCTCTCTTAAAATCAATTAAAGTCCTGAACACTTGAGTAGTCAGTTCCTGCCAATACACCAGCTCCATCTGCACCTCAAAGAAGTCGCTTATGCTGATCAGGCCTGCTGAGGTGACCTTTTGCACATTCCCAGGGAATCAGTACAAAGTCTCTTGCCAGGTGCAAACTGGCCTATTAAAAGGGATTTGTTCAGGGCCCCAGGAAATAGAGAGCGGTTCCCAAGGGCACACACAGCTCTCTAAGGAGACTCGAGACCCCGGAGCTTTCAGACTCAGTTTTGCTTTCCTCTTCTACCTTGTTATTTCTCTATTTTCCCTACACCTTCAGTAAATGTTTGTCAAATATTGTGAGTCTGTCTTTGGAAAATTAAAGGAGGGGCTTGCATCCATTGCTGGGAGCAAAGTTCTAGAGAGCAAAAATCCCCTGACCCCAAACCTCTTGCAGACACAGGCTGGCTGAGGTGACAGCCCTGACCAGGATGATCTGTGAGAGCACAGGAGCCTAAAGCAAAGCTCTCGCAGAACTATTTAGAAGAGGGAATCTGGGAGGACTGGAACTGTGGTGGTGTGGAAGGTGGGCAGAGTACCAAGCAGGTCCGTGCAGGAAAGAGATGGCATGCTCAAAAAAGTGGAGTCGGGGAGAGTTTAAGAGACGAAGTACAAAGTGAGCGCAGGGTTAGAGGAAATCAACGAGGGATGGGGAAACACACCAGGGCAAGAGGAGGAAGCAGCCTCACACCTAGGCCTGAAGGGGCAAGAGGAGGGAGTGGTCACCCACCGAAAGTGGTGGCAGTTGTAGCTCAGGGAGAGGGCTGCCTGCTAGGAGGTGTGGCCTTCGCTAGAGGGAAACAGCTGCTGTCCAGCCCAGCCACCCAAGCAGGAGCTGGGGGAGTAAATACCCCGACCTCTCTTCCTGCCTCCAATTTCCTGCCCGTGTCCCCATTGACTGGACCCAACCAGAAGGAGCCA